CTCACAGCAACCTCCAACTCCTGGGCTCAAGCGAGTCTCCTGTCTCAGCCTCCCAAGTAGCTGGGACTACAGGCACCCGCCACAACGCCTGGCCATTTTTTGGTTGCAGCCATGATTGTTATTTGGCAGGCCCGGGCTGGGGATTCAAACCTGCCACCTTAGGTGTACGTGGCCGGCGCCTTAGCCACTTGAGCCACAGGCGCCGAGCCTAGTTTTTCTATTTTTAATAGAGGTGAGGTCTCACTTTTACTCAGGCTGTTCTCAAACTCCTGAGCTCAAGCAATCCACCTGCCTCAGCTTACCAGAGTGTTAGGATTACAGGTGTGAGCCACCACTCGGGCCTTCATGCTCCTTTGTATTGCCTGAACTAACCACGCTCCTCCCCCGATGGGGCCTTTGAATAAGCAGCATCCTCTGTCTGATTTCTCCCCACTCACCCATCTTTCCCTTAAATTTTCACTTTAAACATCACCAGCACAGGTTAGATCTGTGGCATGTGTTCTCAGAGCACCCTACACATTTCCTTAGGAGCAGTGATCACAGCCCTAAATTAAATGAAGAACCACGTAAGAATTGATCTATCTAATGTCCATCTGCCCTGTGGGCTGGAGCTTCATGAAAGTAGGGATGGTGTCTGTGTTGTTCCTCACTGTCTCTCAACAAACACTTCTGGACCAAATACCCTGTCTAGGATCACTCCACCCACTACCACCACCACCCTTAGTCTGGTAAATGACACAGGCACACATGCCAGCACCAACAACACACTGGTCCTATCAAGTCCCTGGCAGTGAGCTAGCTCAGGACAGCATGGAGGAGGAAGCTCAGCAAGTGTTGCCATGTTAGCCTGGGTGCACCCTCTGCTCCCATCCTTGGGGCTCACAAACCAGGGTCCTCGAGGCTGGGGGTAGGGAGCAGCCATCACAGGGGGCAGGGAGTGCAGCTGTTAGTCTGTTTGGCTTCACATTTTCAATGCTGCTTTTATTAATTTTTGTCCCTAGATGCCACCTGTTTTCCACTGCTGCTGCGCATGAATTTGTGATTTTATATTTCTTTGACAGTTCAAGAATTAGAGAGGGAAGAGATTGACTATCTGGGGAAATTGGGCCAAATTATATTCTCAGAAATATTTGCAAAGTGCATATCTGCTGAAGGATTAGAACTGAACATAGAGAGAAATCTTTCAAATTGTTAAGAGGAACACCATCCCAATAGAAAAAATAGGCCAAGGATATATCAATAAATAATTCACAATGGGACGGCGCTGTGGCTCAGTGAGTCGGGCGCCGGCTCCATATACCCAGGGTGGTAGGTTCAAACCCAGCCCTGGCTAAACTGCAACAAAAAAATAGCTGGGGGTTGTGGCAGGTACCTGTAGTCCCAGCTACTCGGGAGGCTGAGGCAAGAGAATCGCCTAAGCCCAGAGGTTGCTGTGAGCTGTGA